GATATATATATATATATATATATATATTATTTTGTTTTTATATATATATATAAAAACATAAAATGACTAAAATACAAGAAAAATTACTAAAAGTAAAATTAATGGAAAATGGAGACAAAAATTGGAAATATAAACACTGTTTCAAAATATTAATGAAACTGTAACAGTATCTCAGTGATAATAAAATAACATGTTCACCTCTAAATTATGCAGCATTTATGGCTACAAAACATAATACAAATATTGGGAGATAAAATATTTTCAATTTATATTTGCAATCCAATGATCAACTAATTTATTTTCGTAGTTATTTTTATATTTAGATATTATCAAATACTTTGTAGATTTGTAGATCGTACCCCCCAAAAAATGCTCTATATATTCATATTTTTGTATTGCAATAATTTTTGACCGTGAAGATGTTTTTTTTGTGTGTGAAGAAAACATACAATTAATTGAAGAGGAACTCACCTGATTTTGTGGAAGATGATAATCTACTGTCCAATAGAGAGTCATGCCTAGTGAGTAAACCACCATCTAAAACCAGAGCAAATAAATGCTACATTTTGTCTTGATTTGCCATAAACCACGCTTGGAAAGCTAATCTTTTTAAGACACTCACCACTGCTTCTCTCAACCTTCAGCGGGAAGGTCAGGCTGAAAACTGTCTACAATAATTGGAGGTCAGCTTACCTTCTCCGTGGCCTGTCTGCTGAAGGAAATGCTGCTCTGTGACATTTCCGGGGAAGCGAATGAGCCCATGTCCTCAGATCGGCCGCAGCTCTTGAAGGCAATACTGCCGACTGCAGAAAGGAGCATGGAGCCGGGACTGATGACGCAGCACATGTTACCAGGATCTGGATGAAGGGAGGGAGATGAAATGGTGACAGATTATGTTGGCAATCAAGGATAAGTGCATGAAAAGAGTTGAAAGATCTCTCTACCTTTACTGGAGATGGAGATCAAGGTTTCTGCAGCACCGAGGAGGAGAGCCCAGACCTCGTCCTCCTCCAGAGGAGTTCCCCGTGACTCCAGCACCTCCGCCAGCGTCACAAATGTGCTCATTCTGTCAGCCACAAGACACGCACATCACACAGTTGCATGAAAAATTAGGTGAACCTTTGGACTTCATAGCTTCACCGAAAAATAAGATTTTGCTGAAAATGTACTCGGGCCATCCAAGATGTAGATGAGTTTGTTTCTTCATCAGGTTTGGAGAAATGCAGCATTGCATCAGTGTCTCAGCAATGGATGCTCTGCAGTGAATGGGTGCCGTCAGAATGAGAGTCCAAACAGCTGATAAAAACATCACAATAATCTACAAGCAATCCACAGCACTCCAGTCCATCACTTAACATCTTCTGAAGCCAAAAGCTGCGTGTTTGTAAGAAAGCAATCCATTATAAAGGTGTTTAAATCCATAATCCATAATAACAGTGAAAAAGTCCATCTCCTGTTGTTTCTCACATCAAAATCCATGCACCCTCATATTTGTTTAAAGCTGTTTTGGCTTGTAAACGGTGCTTGATCTGTGCAGATTTCTCTCCTGATTCAGACAAAACAACTTTTTCACTGGAGGAAGCAATATTATTGTGGACTCGTATATAGTCCGGAAGCAACATTTTGAAGTGAAAATGTCTTAATGATGGATTTGTTTCAGCTTTTCACAATACATTAACTGATGGACTGGAGTGCTGTGGATTACTTGTGTATTATTGTGATGTTTTTATCAGCTGTTTGGACTCTCATTCTGACGGCACCCATTCACTGCAGAGCATCCACTTGATTGGCTCTATGACGCTCTCCTCTCCACCTGTAGCTGGTGTGTGGTGTTGTGGAGGTGGAGGTGTTGGTGGTTGAAGAGAGACCCCCCCCATATGATTGTAAAGCGCTTTGGGTGTACAACAATACACAATAAAGCGCTATATGAATGCATCATTCATTCATTCATTCATCCATTGCTGAGCAAGTGATGCAATGCTACATTTCTCCAAATCTGATGAAGAAACAAACTCATCTACATCTTACATGGCCTGAGGGTGAGCACAATTTTAGCAAATTTATATATGTTTTGAGTGAACTATTCTTTTAACGTTTTGAGACGTCATTAGCCTAGGGATTCACGATTTTTTTTCCTCCCCGCACTGTAAACGTTACACTGTTTGTTCACATATTATTGTGTTTGACTTGTTTAAGCAGACTATATTTAAATTGTTGTGGCTTAGTTGAAGATCAGATCCAATTTTATGACCATTTTATGCAGAAATCCATGGTTTAGGTTTTCTAAAGTCTCGACTTATTTGAGTAGCTGACACAAAAGAAGATATTTTAAAGAATTGTCAAACAGTCAATGGGGTCTAAAACAACACAGAACTCCAAGTATGGACAAAAAAAACCAGAGACGGTTTTTTCTAAGTTTCTTCTTTTGTGTCTCACAGAACAAAGTCTTACATGTTTGGAACGACATGAAGGTGAGTAAATGAATGCATTTGCGTAGATTGGCAAGCTATAATTAGCTAAAGTACAGTCTCCAGCACACCTCTTTAATTAATTACCTCTTTAATTACCAGTTAAATGGGGGAACTACCTTGCATAGCACGTAAGAGCCTAACTAACAGAACTAAACACTAAACATTTTCTGTGCTTCATGTCAGTCTCGTTTTCACACACTTGCATTCAAGCCTGGTGGATTCTGAAGTTAAAACACCATAAAAGAGCAAAATTAAGAGGAAGCTTTCATTGAACTGGAATGCTGTTTTATATGTTACAATTTCCTCCACAAGAATGAATGGGGCAGTAGGTTTTTCCAGTTGCACGCAGTCTCAAAGAAAGGTTGATCAGTTCATCTTGTGCTGGAGTAATTAACCCTCAACCTGGCTTGCAAAGGTTCCGTCGAAATATTTTCAAGATTACTTGAAAGCATTTTATTCTACTACATAAATTCAATATACGTATATTTGCATTTATGCAGCAAAATGTCCCTGTTAACTCTATAGTGGATTATCATGATTTTTGTCCCTCATGACTGTCACTATCCTTGAGTCACTGGTCTTTCTATTACGACAAAACCCTTTTATGTTGAAAAGAGTTATATGTAATACTATTTTTAATGCAGAGGATATTATAAACACCATGTATGAATAGGCAAAACACTGTAAACTTCATTACTGCGCCTGTCATTAATGGCATAACTGGATCTATGTACAGTAGGTTTAAAAATGTTTGCTAAGGGAAAATAAATATATACATATTTTTTTTACTAAAATGCGACTAATGGCCATGCCATTCTAAAGGTCTTATATATTGAAGAATAATGCTTCCCACATCTCTGTGTTTTAAGACATTGACTATGTAAAGTTCAAGGATAAGTTGTAAAGCACGTTTACCTTTCTACATTCGATATACGCAGAGTTGTCCTCCGGATATCTTCAGCTCAGCATAAATCCTCTCAAGCATCTTGCTCTGTGCCTCGCTCTTACATACGGACAAATACACTACTTGTATAATTATCGATATCACCGGCTACACCGTTATTTTCTGGGAATATCCTCCATTGAAATGCTGTTGCTGCTGTGCTTTGTCTTAATTAGTCCTATTCTTAGAGTCCAGCCATAAGAACTCAATTGGATTAGAGCAAAGGTTTGACAAATCAGTGGGCGACCAATCAGTGTGTCCAAACTCCCCACCAGGCCTCCACTAATCTGACTCAATAGATGTGAGAATATACTGTCCAGTACGTACAGTATATTCTTATGATGCATTCTGGAAATGTTATATCTAGTTGAAAAGTTTCAAAAAGATCCCTCGTATGTTTTCATTTTGTCAAATGAATTACTAAATTATTGTAATCAGCACTTACTCACTAAAGAAATAATAATCTTGCTCTTTTGTAACCCTTTTGCCCTTGACGTTTTGTCAAAAGGTGATACAGCAGAAACACAGAAAAGTTCATGCATCGTCATATGGCATCATCATACGAAACATGAGTTGTTGATTAAATGCACAATTTTAAAAGCATAACAATAAGTATTTGGATCCAAGAGTTTGAGATATTAAAAAGCATACACCCAAAATAAGTATAATTGTCATTTTTACCAATTTGTGTCGATGCCCATATTTAAATTTGACCTTATGCTTATAATTTTTCTAACACATGTGAATAAATTCTATAAGACCTTACCTGAATGACCTTGCACATTCAGCCTTATGATACATAAGGCTGAATGTGTTATATAAAGTAAAAACAATTATATTTTTAAAAAATGTGTGTATGTATATATATATATACTGTATGTATACTTATACTTTATATAACACGTTCACCATTTTTTAGGAAATATATATCTATATATATATCTATATATATATATTTTACACACACACGGACAGACACACACACACACACACACACACACATATATATGCAAATGCAAATTGGTGATTTTCCCCCCCAGGCTGACAGTGTTTTCTGAGTAATGGAATGATAAAAAAAAGAGAAAACAGATATCCACATTTCCCTCTGTAAAAACCTTTAACCCTAAAATGTATTTAAATGAGCCCATATTTAATTAGTCCAGTTTGCATACTTATTTCAGATAATTCGTAATACAAAACAATTGTCAATACCCCATTCACTCATGGAGTCTTGTTGGTTTTTGAAGTTAAAATCTTGATCTACTGTATGTATATATATATATACTGTATGTATACTTATACTTTATATAACACGTTCACCATTTTTTAGGAAATATATATCTATATATATATCTATATATATATATTTTACACACACACGGACAGACACACACACACACACACACACACACACACAGACAGACAGACACACGGACAGACAGACACACGGACAGACAGACACACAGACAGACAGACACACAGACACACAGACACACACAGCACACACACACACACACACACACATATATATATGCAAATGCAAATTGGTGATTTTCCCCCCCAGGCTGACAGTGTTTTCTGAGTAATGGAATGATAAAAAAAAGAGAAAACAGATATCCACATTTCCCTCTGTAAAAATCTTTAACCCTAAAATGTATTTAAATGAGCCCATATTTAATTAGTCCAGTTTGCATACTTATTTCAGATAATTCGTAATACAAAACAATTGTCAATACCCCATTCACTCATGGAGTCTTGTTGGTTTTTGAAGTTAAAATCTTGATCTACTGTGTCGGTGAACACATTTGTTTCTGTGATGTAACAGTAAAAGAAAGCCTAACTACAGCTCCGATGACGTCGGGCAAAACGCAGAAACTGCGCACGTCACGTCCACGCAGAGACTCAGTGACGTAGTACGCAAGTGTCCGCACTCCGCAGCTCAAGGCCTGCCAGTAGACGGAAGCACACAGTGAGCGCAGAGCTTGTGTCTTCAAGTGGAGAACAAGACGAATACAACACGCTGCTGAGCTCAGTGTGAAGACGCCAGAGCGTTTCTAACCCTGCTCTGTGTCTTCTAAGAGGGTGAGTAAACAGCAGGTTACCCGCTGATGTTTTAAGGTGGGTTGTGGGGGAGGGTAACGCTGGGTTGTTGCTGTAATACATCTCAGTAAACACTCGCTGGTTTAAATTTGGTTGGATAAACATCTTGGTGTGTTCTTTGGCTTAGTGGACATCATTGTGTTTTACAGTATTGCACATGTCTATATGGCACATGGGCTGATACTGGTACCGTGGTGCATTAATGGTGTATTAGTAGTACTCTGATATATATACCATGGTACTGGATGTTTACCACATGCTGATTGATATACTATGATATATGCATGGTGTTTTAAAGAGTACCACGGTGTTTATGGTATGCAAATCTACTCTTTAGTCATTCTGCAGGTGACCTGATGTGTAAGGTTGAGATCCACGTCTAACATCGGCTGTGTCTCAAATCTTAGAGAGCTTCTTCCCTCCTTGACAGACAGCATTGTGTGTGATGCTCAGATATGCTGTCTGTGTAGGGAAGCTCCCTGAGAGCCCTGTGTGTCCATGCATAACTCACTGTGCTCTGAGCGTACAGATAGTCTTTCACTGCATAGACCGGTTGGATTTGATTTGGATTAAGTGTGATGGAGTCCGATCAGAGAAGTTGTGGATGGTGCTGTGAGATGTTGAATTCAGGGCATTCGGGTGCGGTTCTCCATATTATTTTAGGAGATGATTGACACTTTCCATTCACATTGATGTTAAAGAATGCAATATCTGAAGTTCGAATTAAAATTTAATTAATTGCAACGTCCTGATCCCTCAAGTATGGGCCCATTAAACAGTGTGCTGAAATAATCCATAATAAAAATAATCGACAACAGATTTGATTATTGATTAATTAATAATCGATAAATTGACTAGTGGTCAGTAAAATATTTCTGTGGACAAAGGGCACCTGAAAAATAGTGGAGGACACGGACTGAGTGGTAGTAGTTAACATTTAGTCTGGTTATCTTAAACACTAGTTAACATGTAGTCTGGTTATCGCAATAAAAGGCAACATTTACAGATATGGATCTGTCAAGTTCCTGAAGTTCGCAGACGACACCACACTTATCGGCCTCTTCCAGTACGGAGACTTTAGAGGTTAAAGAGCTGGCTGTCTGATGCAGTTATAACATCCTGAACACGCTGAAAACAGTGGAGATGATCGTGGACTTCAGGAGGAACCCCCCTGCACTCCCCCCACTCTCCATCATGAACAGCACTGTGGCTGCAGTAGATGAATTCAGGTTCTGGGCACCAGCATCTCTCAGGAGCTGAAGTGGGACGCTCACATTGTCAAGAAGGAATGTGACGTCCCTTCTGACCCCTGACCTCTTCTCTTGTCAGGATCTGAAACCCAGTAACATAGTAGTGAAATCAGACTGTACGCTGAAGATCCTCGACTTTGGCCTGGCCCGGACAGCCGCCACCGGCCTCCTCATGACTCCTTACGTGGTGACGCGCTACTACCGTGCTCCCGAGGTCATTCTGGGCATGGGTTACCAAGCCAATGGTGAGTGCTAACCTGATGCCACTGCTTTGCAGCATGCCCACGTGAAAGGTCCCACTCGAGCACATCCACACCATTCTGCTGAAAACAACCGCGATCTCACCCAAATGGCTGTGGTGTTTTAACGTTAAAGCCGCTTGAGGGATTCTTTCATCCATTTGAACTAGTTTGGAGTGGTTTCTGCATGCACAAGCACACTGGATGGGTTTGCCTGTAGCACTGAGCATCTAGATAGGAAAAGCATTAGTCACCGAGTCTTACTTGGGAAGTGAAAGTGGTTCGCTGCAGTGCAAAAATCAATTTGAAGGCCAAAAATGCTGACATTTAGTCCTGGATGGTAGCGCTGAGTAAAACTTGGCATGGACAAATCTTACGCAGTCGCGCTGCCCTTTATGCTTTGCTTATTTCTTCTTTTTTTCCTCTATGCTACACTGGTTTAGTGGATATTTGGGCTGTTGGCTGCATTATGGCAGAGATGGTGCGGCACAAAATCCTTTTTCCAGGGAGGGACTGTATCCTTGTTGGGCCTCTAGTTGTTTGCTTGGATTTTGTGCTGTTTTGTGAAGAGTAGGGCCTCTAGGGTTATGGATTATCGGGCTGTGGTCCTGCCTGACGCACACTGAGATGTCTGCATGCACCTGTCACCTCTGTTGCATCCACATCAATGCACCCTGTTCCTTATATAAGTGTGTGTGTGCTTGTTTTATTGTTTTTCATTTGTAAGATTTTTGGCACTTTAATTTGGTTGTCATTTCATTTTTCAGTTGATGTCTGGTCTGTTGGCTGCATCATGGCTGAAATGGTCAGAGGTAGTGTGTTGTTTCCTGGCACAGACCGTATCCTTACCTGGTTGTCTTTACTGTCCCATTCTGAGTGTGTGTTTGTTTGCTTGGGTTTTTTTATTTGACCCTTTATGTGTTTTGTCATTGATGTGCGAGACCTGATTAAAAAAGAAGGTTAATAAAAAGGTAATATTTTAATAGAAGGTAAAAAAAAAAAAACTCTTTGCTTCCTTACACATGAAAGTGTCAAGACAGTTTTATTCAGTCTCTTGGTTAACCCTGACTATAGTAAAAATCCCACTCCACATAACTTTTTTACTCATGTGTGTGCAGCTCTAAGCAGCATTTTTTAAATTTATTTCTTTTCATTTTACAGATATATGCGAAGTAGATAACACACACAGTCACTCACACACACACACACACACACACACACTCAGTGTGAACTCTACATACTAAGTGAACTAAATCGATCGCTAAATTTGGAAATGCCATTCATCATTGGGTTAATATCTACGGTTTTTATTTTGCTTTCAAAATGGAGAAAGTGCCTGAGTCCAGCGTTCATTCCTGAATGATTAGAGAGGTGAAGACATTTGGGTGAGGTTTTTCGAAGTAATACTGTTCATATCATGTTGGAGTGTCTATTTTTCTAGTGCATTGGATCCATGATGTCGATTGAAAGGTCGGGGCATGTTGAGAACATGATCTGTAAAGGGACGTTTCCTCAAGCAAGGTCTTTCATCAAAGTACTAGCAAATTGGAAAATTTTTGGTATGTGTATATGGTTTGCAGCTTTATTTTGTTTATGGAAATATGCAAGATATTGCATCGAATGCTGTAGGTGGGAACTACATTTCCCATGAGGCAGTGCTATGGAATGTACTTGCGGGATAGCTGGGAGGTGTAGGAACCGAAGGTTTGAGTTTGCATAACTATATTCTTTCATTTGAGTTGCATTTTGTTTTATCCGTGTTAAGTGCTCTTAACTTTTCTTTGCTCTCTTTAGGGAAGTTAATGAATTTTAACTTTAATTTGCTTTTATCTCATCTCTCAAAAATGTTATAATTCAGATCAAAGTAGGCTTTGATGAACTACCTCACTCTAAATTTCTACCGGTTTTTAATTTTTTTTGCGACGTAGCTGCCCATAAGATAGATGTTAATACGGATTTCATTATTTATTTATTTCTAAAGTGAACTATTGTCAATAGTAGGCAACGTATAGTTTTGTACATTATGTATACTTCACCTAGAAGTCAAAGAATTGAAATGTAAATTTGATCTTTTTTGTTTAATTTTACTTTGTACTCATTTTTTTACAGTTCATGTGCAATACCCACTGCTGTCATGCTAGTTGTAATCAATAGATCTAGACTTATTAGTTGTATGTACCCAGAGGTAGAGAGATAGAGGTACTATCAGATAAATTCATGTTCTTTTGTCATTTTTTTTTCTTTGGCTTATATTGTCAATGTTACATAACCCATCTTACCAAAAATGAAAATCTGTGGCTGATGTTTGCAAGTTGTTAGCCACTGGACTTTGATCATCCTGGTAAGTCCGATTTAAAAGCATCTGTAAAATATCATGAATTACCAACGTGTTAAGATTTGGTGCTGGTATGTAATATTTGCTAGCAATGCCAGCCCATCAGTTAGTTATAAATTGCTAGCTCTGTGTGCACTAAACAGCATACAGACACTGAGAAGTGCACTACTACAAAGAATGCGCTGGGATCTTATGAAACCAATTGTACATGTACTGCAAATAAACACCAGTTTGAATCAGAACTGTCTCCTCGGTCTCATTGCTTTTACACACACCAGTTTAATATACAAGATATTTAAAGGGTTTCTGCAGGTAAATTAAGGCTTTATAAGACCAATTAAAGAAACTGTAAGGATAGAATGGTTTGCAATTTCGTAAATATACCATTTGGATCGGAAAATTTTATTTTTTTAATTTTTTTACTTCATCAGAATGGTACAAAACTTGGTAAAGGTTTTGGCGTTAGGCTTTTTGTCTCATTTGAACGGTTCGTGGTCAAAAATGACCGCATTGGAAATTTAATCTAGTGGAAACGTTTGGTACTGCACCCAAAATCTTACTGAAAGCTCATTTTTTGAGATATCAACCTCAAATTTGGAACACGATTTGTGCAGTTTTAGAGTAAAACACATTTTGGAAAATATTAACTCTTCACTTCAGCAATAATCTGCCAAGTGTCTTCTTTAAAAAGAAAAGTCTGTGCTCCAAAACATTCAAGATTTATTCCCATTTAAGTTGGAAATTTCATTTTCAGGTCTATGCCCAGAGAGTGGTTAACAGGTAATAAATGGATCATAACTATTCCATAAATATAATTTAGTACCATAACATCCCCTAAAAATACAAAATATTAAACCATTATCAAACTAAAGTTGTTGTTTTTTACCACCACACAAAGCAGCATTAGAGAATTAAAGAAAAAACTACTAAGGAAGAGTGCATGCAACATTTTAATGTATGGAAGAAAAATAATGTCAAATGTCTTTGAAACAGAAAAAGCATGTTGAATTGCACTAACTGAAAAAATAATGCGTAGCATTAACAGTGCTTGCATTTTAATGCCTTGTATTTTCAGGCCTTGCATATTTAGGGGCTGAAAATCAACATAGTTGTTTATTTAAGCTGTGAATATTTCAATTCGAAACATTTTACACACATTTTCATGATTAAAAATTCAATAATTCATATTCACCTTCCAGAGTTCACTTCCGAAATATTCAATCTGTTTAAAAATACGATGCATAATATTAGACGGGCAATTTTCAGTCAATTTTATTTTGTCTTATTTCACAAGAGGTACATTCCTTTCCGTTTGTTTCATTTAGTCCTTTGTGAATAATTACAAACCACCACAGTGACACTTGGTAACATTTCAACACAGCACAGAAGTCTAATCGTCATGTATGACCGCAGTATAATAGTCTTATCATGATGTATAACATCTTCACATACTCTAAATATGCATTAGGTCTATTGTAAAGGCTGTTGTTCTAGTAAAATCCAAATAATATCCAAATGGATTGATAACTGAAGCATGTTGAGCAGCAAGAAGCACTTTGCTTGAGGGCACAGTGGTGATGTCCAGTTTCTGGGTCTCTTCTTCTTGAGATTGAACCTGAAACATTCATATTAGCAGCCTGGAAAGTTAACCGTTAGGCTACGGCCATCATGCTAATATATAATATATGACCTACTATGCAGTGGGAAAACAGTTCAGAAATTGAGCTGAGTCTACACAATCTATGACAGTTTTTGACCACTCACTTTAAGAAACATCCACAGAGCATTTCTAGTCTTTCTATACACTTAAACAGTGTCAAATAAAATTCGATCAATTGACAAAAGTCACATTTCAATCTTTTTTTTTTTTAATTAAAGTGGCAACGACGGTCACTTTGACAGTGTCGAGATACCACCAAATACGCAAGAAAACGGTTTCAAAGTGAGACCTCAATAATTTCACTTTCCCACTTTAATTTTAAACTGACATGTTTTTGTAGGGCAGTGGTCTGCTTGAAGGAGTAGTTCACCCAAAAATCAAATCGATTGAAAATGTGCTCACCCTCAGGCCATCCAAGATGTAGATGAGTTTGTTTCTTCATCAGATTTGGAGAAATGCAGCACTGCATCAGTGTCTCAGCAATGGATGCTCTGCAGTGAATGGGTGCCGTCAGAATGAGAGTCCAAACAGCTGATAAAAACATCACAATAATTGAATCCATCATTAAGATGTTTTTAACTTTTAACCTTTTTTCCCAGCTAAAGTATGAGTCCTATATTAAGAAAAAATCTGAATCAGGAGAGAAATCTGCACAAATCGAGCACAATTACAAGCCTAAACAAATCTGTGGGTGGATTTTGATGGGAGAGACAACAGAAGATGGATTTTTTCCCTGGAGGATTATAGACTAGTGTTTTTGCCAGAAGAAACTGTTTGAAGTTAAAAGCATCTTAATGCTAGATGTGTTTCAGCTTTTGTCTTCTCCAGATGTTAACTGATGGACTGGAGTGCTGTGGATTGCTTGTGGATTATTGTGATGTTTTTATCAGCTGTTTGGACTCTCATTCTGACGGCACCCATTCATTGCAGAGCATCCATTGCTGAGCAAGTGATGCAATGCTACATTTCTCCAAACCTGATGAAGAAACAAACTCATCTACATCTTGAATGGCCCGAGGATGAGTACATTTGAAGTAAATATTTTATTTTTGGGTGAACTCTTCCTTTAACATGCTGAAGCCAGTGAATCTGCTCTAATTGTCATTATTGGGAACCCTAAACATGCAAACGATGCATGATATAATTTGAACTGATTTAAGGACCAGATTCAGACGTTCCATTTGTTTCTTTGTCACCTAAAGCTGAAGCTTCCAGAAAGAAATAGCTGTAAATCAACAGCTGTATAATGGCTTTAATAAATGCTACACTGCTGAAACGGCGAGAATCTCCTCGAAAAAAGTAACTGGTACACATTGGAAGGCCTTTAACTAGGTCTGATTTGATGAACACAAAAATTTGTCCACATGATTTTTGGAGATGCCTGAGTGCTCTGGTCCATTTGGGGACTTTGGGTGTGTTTGCATTAAATGTCACTGGTCCGGCTTCCAAGAGCCAGATCCCCCAGCGTGGAGAAGAAGTCTTCCATTTCTTTCTCGAGGAGGCGATTGCGGTTTTCTGCGTCCTCACGGGCCCGTTCAGAGTTTCTCAGTTTGATCTCAAGCATTCGTTTTTTTTTTCTCTCCTGTTCCATCTCTTGCTGGAGTCTCTCCATCTGCGCGCACAGGACTGAACTCGACTCTTCCAGCCTGCAGAGAGCAGAACACAGGTGTGTGAGTGCACAATACAGATATCACCGAGATATCACTGTTACTTATGCCAGGGCTTAGGGGGATGTTTGGGGAACGCAATTTGAGAGACCAAAAATATTAGAAATATAACATCTGTCAAATCTGTTTCATTTTGCTTTGTAAAGACAGGTCAGATTATTTTATGTTTGATCTCAAGCATTCGTTTTTTTTTCCTCTCCTGTTCCATCTCTTGCTGGAGTCTCTCCATCTGCGCGCACAGGACTGAACTCGACTCTTCCAGCCTGCAGAGAGCAGAACACAGAACACAGGTGTGTGAGTGCACAATACAGATATCACCGAGATATCACTGTTACTTATGCCAGGGCTTAGGGGGATGTTTGGGGAACGCAATTTGAGAGACCAAAAATATTAGAAATATAACATCTGTCAAATCTGTTTCATTTTGCTTTGTAAAGACAGGTCAGATTATTTTATGCTACTAATAGTAAAACAACAACAACATTATATTTGTACAACTAACATCATTCTAGTAGTGACTAAAAGAAAAAAAAACTATTATTAACAGAGGATGTCTGTTTTTTTTTTGTTTTTTTTAAGAGGACCCCCAAAATATTCAAAAAATAATTTGGAAAAAAGGACTAGTTTTTCTATAATATTTCTCATACAGTATAGATAAGATTATGTATATATACTGTATATTATATTTGATGATTCAGGGACCTCGCAAGGGGATCATATTATTTTGGTACAAATCGTGCTAAAAAAAATACAAATTACTTAATTAATCAATTCGGATTCAATTTATGTTAATTGAAAGGATTCAACAGTAAAACCCAAACCCTAATTCATCACCAAAATTTAAAAAGAATTTAAAAAGTACAGATTCTGGCAATAAATTATTTCTAGAGAAGCTCTACTTTCTATACCTTCTGCAATTATTAACAGTGGTTGTCTGTGATTTCTCAGAGGACCCATAAGTTATTCAAAAAAAATAATAAAAAATCCCATAAGTAATTTTCCAGTTTTTTTTTCTGAGCTTTTGGGGAGGAAAAAAAACCCCTGTTTGATTCAAATTAAAATCGTTAAATGTTGTCTTCATAATATGTCATATTGTCTTCATAGTATTTTTTAGCCATTGACTTCCATAGAATGGAAAAGAAAAATACTATGGAAGTGAATGGCTACCGTCAAGTTTTGGTTGCCAACATTCTTCAAAATATCTCAAAACTCATACAGGTTTGAACCCAGTGGCGGTTGAGTAAATGATGACAATTATAATTTTTTTTTTTGGTGTTAACTATCCCTTAAAGCACAGAAATTATTCTAAAATACAATCTATTTTCATATGTCTGAGAAACACCAATTTACCTGACCTATACTCAAAGAAACTTGTCCCATCCAAACAGAGCTTAAATATAGCTGTGATTTTTAAACAATTCAAAAAACCCTTGTCATTTAAAAAGCAGCAGCCTTACTTTTGAATTCTAGATTCGTAAGTCTGTTTCTGCTTCCTCAGCTCTTCTTTCAGGTCTTCCACGATGCTGGCCAGGGATGAAGGGCCTCCGTTTGCATCTGTGTCTTCGTCCACGACTCTAATGACCGGTGCTACGTTCCCATTGTCACTGCAAAACAATCCGCTCGCGCGGTTCTCCACAGCACTGCCGACGTCCTCTTCTTGTTCGCTGGGCTTTGCTTCCTCCTCGCTCCGTTCCTCCTGAGCGCTCGCCTCCGTCTGAGGCCCATCTTCTGTTCCTAACGGGTCTCTTCCAGAGTCTGGGACGAAGATCTCACACGATGAGGAGGACCACGGCGTGCTGTCCATACTCAGCACGCTGCCCAGACTCGATGAAGACGTGACGTTGTCGTAGGTAGACAGTCTCTGAGAGGAGCCCGAATCCCTGGAGCGTTCGCCGGACGAGGTGCGGCGGTGTCCCCTTAGCGAGGACAGCCCGTTCATGAGCCAGTTCCCGCTGGAGGCCGTGGACACGTCCACCGCGGAGCTACAGACTTTTGCGGACGGCGGCCTGGGAGAGGAGCCTTTGAAGGTGTACTTCCATCCTGGAAGCGCCTTGGCCTGCTTACTAGGGCTGACGGCTGTCTCTCCCTTTCCCTGAGGCACCGGCTTGGAGGTGATAGCGGCGTCCACAGACGAGGCACTGCTGCTGGTAGGGTTGTCATTCTTACAGGTCTGTAGATCCTCCTCAGAGATCCAGTCCACCAGCTTGGACTGCTGATGTTGTTGGCTTTGGTCCTTTACCTCCATCTGGTTCTGTGATGTTTCTGAGTCTTTTTCAGTATACAGGCGATCATGCTTGCTGATGAGAAGCGTCATGAGATGCTGAACAAGCGAGGTGCCTGGAAAACACACACACACACACACACACACACACATGTTGGTTTTTATGGTTTATGAGGACTCTCCATAGACGTAATGGTTTTTATACTGTTCAAACTGTATATTCTATTGCCCTACACCAACCCTACCCCTAAACATACCCCTCACAGGAAACTTTCTGCATTTTTTGATTTTCAAAAAAACTCATTCTGAATGATTTATAAGCCTTTTAAATTACGGGGACACTGAAAATGTCCTC